AGTAAAATCCATCATGGTACAAGAATTCTTTTTCAGAAAGTATACATTGAATGGATTTTAAAAGGTCAAGAAACACCGACCTGTACAATAATAGTGTGGTAGTTTGGTGCCTCCTAATGAGATACACAAACAGCCACTAAACATTGCAGGAAATCGCCTACTGAAAGGAGGGTTCATAAATTTCAGCCTTCTGGGTTTAAGATGACTCTCTGCAAGTCAGATACAATAACCTAGAGACAGATTTATGGCTTAAAACACTTGTTTGATAGTAGGTACCAAAGTCTTTGAAAGATAAAGCATGGCCAAGGTTGTTGGTACTCCTGCAGATGTATGTTAGGAAGCTGAGAAGCCACTTTCATGTTACGGACTCCCAAGGGAGATGACAGGATGAATCTGCAGGCTAATAGAACTGTTCCAAAGCTGCCAAGATGGCAGTAATTCTGCCTGTGCACAAACCAAACTTCAGGCTGGGGAATTTAGTGGATGGGAATATAGCGTCTTTGAGATGCTAGCAGCTGAAGGGGTTAAACAAGGCTTTTTAGAATCCCTGTCTTAGATGTAAATGCCTAAATTTCATTTAGCTCTTGGCCAGATCTGGGCCTGATACAGTATGATGAAATAGGTCACATACATATCAAAGATATGTATCACCAGAGGGCAGTGCTAAACTGGGAAGTAAAATTTTATTTTGATGTGTAATTCATGTGTATGAAAAAAACCTGCTTTTTTTTCTGCCTCAAATATTGCTCTTTTAAAATATATTTATTTTATTGAAACTAGTGTATGTCTGGTTTTAGAAGCAAGGAGAAACATGATGCTTTTATTTGGAGTGAGGAACAGAACTGTAAAACATTGCTTGTTGGGAGTTCAAAAAAGGGATTTTACTCCTAATTGCTCAGACCCTGAAAGATATTTTGTTAGTGTTTCTCCTCAAGACCATGGCAAGATTCAAAAATAAATTATCTGACAAATTATTTGACATATTCTATGCCTAGTCTCCTCAGAACACCAGTTTTTCTCTTTTAGATGATCAGCAAGGGCATGCTCTGTACCCAGTCTGTGCTCCTCATCTGGGGAAATAACAGGCTTGCTTTAGAAGCTATGGCCTGTGTCACGTATAGAGGCATGGCACACAAAGAGTTACTGTAATTTGCATAAAAATGCCACTAAAGTGCAAACGCTGCTTCATTAATATGAATGAAGTTCACAGGATATTTACAAATTACACAAAGCCCCCCATTTAAAAATATATATATTTGATGCAAGTCACACACAGTGTGTATGTGAAGCAGTTTCTGATACTGGCATAACATGGTGAGACAATAAGTAAATATAATGGTTGTCTTCATCTTCATTGACACAGGAACTTAGATTGGGTACTGACAGAAACAGATGTAGCAGTGGATATTAGTTGAAATGAACTCCAGTATAGTATATCATGGTAATAGGCTTTGTCAATATAAAGCATGCTGTAAAAGCAGGGACTTAAATCTGCATGAAGAAATGGAAAAAAGGGTCAGATTGAAAAGGACGTGTCTGTGGTGGTGATATGAGGCTTCTGCTTTTCCAGGAAGTGTGATGCACTGTGCACAGGAAATGATGAGTGTATGAAGCATTAAAACTATTTTATTGATGAGAGACTAGTTTCTTGTTAGTCTGTGATAATGAGAAGGATGATGTGTCTGTGGAAATAATAGGAATCAAAACTGTGGTCTAGTACACAGTAAAAGCATGCAAAATTATGTCAGGCATTAAGACTTACTCATAATACAGCATATACAAGCAAATCTATAGAGGCTTATGCACGAAAAATGATTCTTATCTTTTTTTCACACTTGTGAATCACCCACATGAGAGTGTATTTTGTCATGGGCTAAATGAAATATAAAATCTCTCTCTGGATATTATTTGTTAATCATTAATTTTTATGTTGTGAAAAATACAGTATCTACAGCTAAGTTGGAAAATGAATTACATCAACTTCACTTAGAGCTTAAAGGCATTTATTTTAAAATACAACAATATAATTCAAGAACACAGTGCTCTGGTATCATAGCTATTTAACTTCATAGCAATGAGCTCATCTTTTCATGAAGAATTAAATTCCTAACCAATCCCACAGATTAAAAAAATATCATGAGGACTAGGCCATTTCTTACACTTTAATTACTATCATAAACCTAAATATCAAACTATAATTTTATAACTATTCAGATTGTTCAGTTATACTTTGTGAAGAATGAGAATTTGGAGAGTTGGGTGGTCTGTGTTTTATTTTAATAAGAGGCAAAGCTATATTTTTCCATGGATTAAGTCCAACACAGAGAGAACTGTCAGTGTGAAAACAATAGAATTTATCTCCACTGATGTAGCTTGACATATGAACAAGAGCCTGAATTGTTTCCATGGCAATAAATGTGTAGGACTTATGCATGCATTTTCTGCTATAGGATTTTGATTAATGGCATTGACTAAATAGTCTGAAGTAGAAGAAACACTGCAGCAGGCCTGAGAATAGAGATGGCCTGGAATGGGTGTGCACACCCTACTGCACACTTTTACTGGTAAAATAAACTGTGGCTGAAATCAGAGTTGTCAAGTCTCCAGTAAAGTATGAATTGAGGATTTAGCACTTATGCTTAGTGTGAGAATTTAAAATGAAAAGACAGTCTCTTGAACATGAACTGTATTGGAACACTTTTCTATTTCCATATATGATATTTCTTCTTTTGGGATGAATGGTTTGAATGATACAAATAGTCCTTTTCCATCTTTAAAGGCTGTGGGCTCAATGTAGGTCTTGATTCAGAAGGAAATAAAGTATCTAGCTTTGATTTATTCATTAAGGTATTGAAGCAGTGGGCAGGAGCATGTCAGTATCCTACTGAGCCAAGGTCTTCACTGGCAATAGGGAGAAGTGGTTTTCTGGAACTCAGGTGGGATGCAGAGCACCTTATGGGAGGTGGTTTTATTAGGGAATGGTCAGAACTCAGCAGAAAGGCCCCTAAATAACACATCCTTTGATTTTAAGTAGATCTGGTTGAAAATATAAAAGTGTGTGCTTTATCTGCATTTGTGTGGATATGGAGCTATAGTGCATTTGTAATACTAAACATAATTATCGTGAAAAAAATGGAAAGTCTGAACTTTTGTTTTACAAGCTGCACCCGCACTGATTTTTTTCAGTGAATTCTGGAGTACATGTGATTACTGATTACATATATATGTGGGATTTAAAAATAAATTAGGGAACTTTGCAAACAAATTCAAACAATTCTAAACATGAGTGAAATGCAAAAAATACTTCTCATCTAGAATATGAGGTGCTTATATTTTTCCATGATTTTAAATATATTTTATTCCCATATTTGTTCATTATAAGAACTATTTGTGTTTAATCAAGGGTTCAGCTTTTCTCCAGCTCATCATCTGTTCCTAATCAACCCTGTCGAGGAATCAGGCTGCTGAATTTGTGACGTTGCTATCATTTCTATGGTAATAGGATAGCTGATGAGTACAGTGTTATTGCCTCATTGTAGGATCAGGGAAAAGAAAGACTGGACTGTGTAGGAGGAAGTGTTAACGGGGACACAAATGTCTTTAGTTGCAGAAAACAGGAGCATGGGGAATGATGCCCAATTAAAGGTATTTTTGTGAGAGGGGTCCTTCCAATTTGCCTCAGCATGAAGTTTCCTATTATTTTATAAGCTCCCCAGTACCTTAAGAATACTCTTAGAAATACTAATTAATAAGTATGTTTCAATACTTTTGCCATTATACCTCACATCACAGAATTGTGCTTCAGTAATTGCCCATTGCAAACGTTTAAGGCAAGAGGATGCTAATTACTTCAAAGTTTTAAAAACCTGTGTTTACCTGATTCTGATTCACCGTGTCCCTTACTGGCATCATCTCCCTCGCATTGGCACATTCATCTCCTCAGTGGGAAATGGCAGTGATGGTGGAACATGTTCCTTGTGGTCCAGCCAGTTTCTTGGGCTTCTGAAACAGCAGTGGAGGAACCTCAGGTTGATTTTCATGCTTGAAAACCTGGAAGCAGAGGGAAAAGCTTTTTAAAGTGAGACCACCATATTGGTCCCTGAATCCCTCAGCTGTATAATGCTGCTCCTTTTGGCCTCCATGCCATCTGCTACTGAGTTATACTTGACAGATATAACTTTGTGTTTCTGCCTTCTTTTCCACACCTCTTCCAAAGCAAGTAAAAAGGAAAAGCATGCAAAGACAACCCAGAGAGCTTATTTTAAGGATAAGAATGTTTAATTTCATTGGCTTGTGCTTTGGGAGCACTGTTACGATGTCCAGTCCATTACTGTGTAACTCCTGTGTTTCTGACACTTATTATAACTTCCAAGGCTCTGTCTTCTTTCAGGACTCATAGAGTCCAGGTTTCCTTTCACATAGCATGGTAGATATCTCCCCTTCCTCCGCCCAAGGAGCAATTCAGCTGTGCTCTTCTTAGTGTAGGGAGAGTATCCCTGGAAAAGAAAAAAAAAAAAAAGGATTCTATCCAAAGTCACTGATATATCAATCTGATCGTATCAATCTGATATATCAAATAGCTATGGGATGAACCAGCAGCAGGGAACACAAGAGCCACACAGCTGGTGCTGATGTTCACAGTGAAGACTTAACCAGGAAAGATCATGGAGGTACTGCTTTATTTTCTTTCATCTGATCATGAACTGTGTCTGTCTTAGGTGAGAGAAACTCATTCAAATCCATTTAAACTTATGTAAAAAGCAAAAGTCAAAATAGCTATTCTGTAGTCATTCATAGCTTGCTAGCAATGGAAGGATTCTTTGTGGTGCTTACCAGTATCTGAATATGAATAATGGGTCATTTATAGAAAAGCCTCAAACACATTTCCTCATTCATCTCCCCTGGACTTTCAAGGAAAAATTGGTACAACCCCCACTGTAGGCCAAAGGGGACTGTCTGTCAGGACTGAAGATATCATAGCGCATTCATGTGTTTGACAGGTTATCACCTTAATAAGAAGACTATCAGAGACCCTCCAGCTCTCAGGCAAGGAGAGAGACCAGACCAATTATCCTGATTCAGCCTCAGAAATAATGGACTTGAATGGAATTTCAAAGCATGCTGAAGGACACTGGAAGTGAATGAGAAGCTGAGGAGTTAGTGAACCATCATTATTGTACATTGGCCTTTGTGTACACTAGCCAGCAATAAGTACTGTGATCAACACTGGTTCTCAAGTTAATATCCTCTCCTTATTGCGTAGATTCTCTCAATTTTTCTGACCTCTGTTGTCAGTTGAGAAGCAGGGATAGGAATTCAAGTGACAATGGAAAAAACAAACGTTATGAGAGTGAGATTAAACAAGGAGTTCCTTCTCCAGGGGCTATACTGAAGTTGCGTTACAGATTGACTATTATCCAGTTTTAAATCCATTTTGAAATAATCTTAGAGAGAAGCTAGTTAATGTGACATAGCTAAAGCAGATGCCCCAAGCCTGGCATGATGTTGTTTTAGGCTAGGCTTTGGAACTGAAACTCTACATGGGGGATCTTGTCATATAGGACACAGGGCTCTAAACTGCGAGGAACATACCTGTGAACTTTGATGCAGCTGGTTACATATTCCCCTAAGCTTCTTAACTGTCGAATTCTGTATTTGGTCCTTTTCAGTACCTACTTAATACCAAATTCTGTGTCTGCACTATCTTAAGTGGTCTAAAAATGATTCTTGGCAGAAAAGAGTTCACAGTTGTGCACAAGAGCAAACTAGCTCAGTCCATAGTTTGGTCTTAGATTCTTCCCTGACACTGAACTCCTGCAAGCAGCAGCTCAGGGTGAAATCTTCAGTGCTGTTTCTTTGATGAACTTTCCACAATCAGAATTAAAGTAGACTTGGAGAAGATTGCATTTTCTGAATAGCTAGTCTGGACTTTCCTGTGAACTCTTTCAAAGCAAAAGACTAGCCCAAACCTCCTACCAACAACCCACCACTAAGTAACACAGAGCGCAAAAATAAAGTCTCAGCAAAAAATTATTTTCTGAAATAAGTTTAATTATGTTTTCATATATCACTGGAGGGTCCTCTGATGCAAGAATAGGAAAATCTATAGAGACAAAGGAAGGAATTTTCTTGATAAGCAGATTTTGGTACTTGCCTATTATGTTGCAACTTGGTTCTTTTCCCTTTTAAATCATTTCAGCTGCAATTCAAAGTATTGCTTAAACACTGTCTTAGAAAAGAATCCAGAACCAAGGTCTTATGAGCCTGACATGTCCTTGCAGTTTCAGACAAGAATTTTTATTATTTAGAAGGTAAATCTTTGTTCACAATCACAAGTAATAATTTTTACTGTTGTTACATATAGAGTCCCTTATGAAGGCAAGATGGTGCTTCTGCACCATCTCAAATTCATAGCTGCGAGGCCCATACCCCTCAAAAACCTAAATACAGAAGAGGAACTTACGTCTCAGATCAAACAAATCACTCGTGGGAAAGTCAATATCCTAAATTTTTCGTGAAATTGGATTTACATAATTGACCTGCATTTTTTTTTTTTTTATGAAAGATGTATTTTTTACAAGAATTTAAGCAATTGAAAGGTAGATACACATGTAAGTATCTCTAAAAATTCTAGTAGTCAGACATTTACATATAAAAATTTTTGAAGATTTTCAAAGTTATTATAATAATCTTCAATTAAAATTAGTTTAAATGTATGTTCCTGAATGTGGTGTAACACACCTAAGAGTTGCATGCATATAAAGAGTATGTGGAAAATTAGCATGGGAGCACCAAGATCACTACTTGTTTCATATGGAAATGCATGCTGTATTATCAAAGGAGATAGCCATGGGACTATACCATCAGGAAAATTTGCATTTAAAAGATTTGTTGTATCCAGAATTCATTCACCCCTAACTGTATTTATGTTAGTTATCTATCTATCTATCTATCTATCTATCTATCTATCTATCTATCTATCTGTCTTTATGTAAAGAGGTTTGTTAATGACTCACTCAAACACATGTGGACAGAAGGACATTAGACCAATACAGACCATTTTTTTCAAAGAGAGATCGACTTAAGCAGTGGCCTGCCTAAGTATTATATCTATACATGCCTTTGGGCATTTCTTGGCTTTTTAGGGTTGCTGTCTACTGGCAGGCTTTGAATAAGGTTATGTTCGCCAAAGGTTGGATGGGGTGGGAAGGGCAGACAGACATTTGAGACAAGTCAGATAGTATTTTCCAGTGTGACCCTGGATACTGTAGAACCCAGTTATGTATGTGGTGTTCATAAAACGGCACTGATATGTGCAAACAAAAACCAGGATTGAATCAAAGAAAGATTTTTTTTTTTTTTTTTTAATCTTGAGTCTGTTTTCTGTAAAATCCAACTTCATTTAAAGAAGAAACTTTGGGAATTCCATCACCCTTTAGAGCCAATGTCTCTTGGTTCTGACAGTTTTCTCTAAGCAGACATATTAATAGACAAATGCTTCTAGGTTTCAACTGTTTGGCACTCTTGTATGGGTCTATATGAGTACACAGCTTTGTGTATAGAAAGAGAAACAAATATATGACTAAAAGACAATGAAGAGAAATGGGAATATTTTTTAAAATCTGGCAATTTATCTTTTGACACTAATTTTCCATGTGTGTAGTCAAGAAAGCAGGGCAAGAAAATAGAAGTGTGTGATACTCACTAGTTCATAGGATTATGTTTCCATTTTTTTAAATCAATAAAATAGATTGCTGATAGTCTTTGAATTTTTCTGGGTGAGAGCTTCCTATGAAAGTATTTTCTTTCTGAAGCCAAGAAAATATATACTGGAAAATTACCCTGTTTATCTCTACTGATGATGTCTGCCTAGTGAAAATGTTTCTAATTGCCCTTGCCTTCTAGAGAGGCAGTTCTTATCATATCACATTATCATGTAATCTTGTAATCTTCCAGGGCCTTTAATATGGTATATGGATTTTTTACTGGGTAACATCTGAAGTGACACAGTTTTAACTATACATAGAGCTAGTTAAGAAGCTTGCAACCTTTAGGATCAGCACGGATGATCAGTCTGAGAGCTAATGATTCCTATTTTTAAAATGCACACAGCTATCCTCAGCAATGTTCACACTTTGGTGCAGTCTTTTATTTCTCTAAATCAAATTAAATGATAAATTACATATAGTAATCACATATAGTGTAAATTTTATACCACCACAGGTTTTAATAATAGGTTTTTCTCTTTAAGTAAGTACCTTTGATCCAGTCTCACCAAACAAAAAAAGTCTGCCTTAAAAAAAGAAGAAAAAAAAAGCTGTTTCATTTTATATTGGAAAAATACAATGTGACATCTGGAGAATAAATTGTTCAGTCAGCCAGAAATACGCCTTGTAAAAATTGCTTAGGTTTCTGTAACAAGATTATTTACTGCGACTGTTCACCTATAATACAGCACACTTCTGAAATGGACCTTTTATGAAACACATCAAGCACTGTGGAAATGTATTCAGTGCATTAATCTACAACACTACACACTTTACAACACTTTTAGAACAGATTTTGAAACTCAGATCATCTAATGAGACAGAAAGTTTTTTTCTTTATATTCATTCCAGTCACGTTTTATGCTAAGCCCTCAGGGTATTTAACATAATGCAATAGGGTTTTTTTGAAAATACAAACAAACAAAATGTATTACTTTTCACATGACTAGTGAGCTCAGACTGTTCTCTGCGCATATTTCCATTGCCTATACGTAAGGCAAATACCACGTGTATTTTTTGCTCTAGAGCTTTATAAATATTTAAGCATCTCAAAATGTATCAGTTTCTAGTCATAGCTTTGTGTAATTAATGGCAACGAACTGATTATGACCATAGTAGAGCCAAAGTAAGAGCCTGAATCAGAGAGGGTGAAACTGATTTGCTATGGCTCTGGGTATCTCCAGTAAAGTAACATTGAAAAATGGAAAGAATAAAAAGGGGTGCATTTGTGCCTTATTTTTGGCACTAGGTCTGAAAGGAGCTGCATATTTTCTGTAAGTCTGGATGAAATCATAGGTAAAGGCAGGATGAAGGCTGGTTCAGGAAATCTCTATATGTAACCATGAAAAACTAAATTTTGTTAGTGACATGTGAATAGCTAATGTCTAAATCCCAAGAAAGATGACAACGATGAAGCAAATTTATTTTTGCCTGTAAAGATAGGTTACAAAGAAGCTGCAAGAATGTAGGAGAGGTTTCTTGATGTGCTATTCGGAAATCATGGGATTCAAATAGTGAGATAGACACTGAGTTAGGTTTTAAGGCAACAGTATAAATAATGGTCACAAAAAAAAGTACCCTTCTGTTTCTAAACACAGAAGGCAATCTTTAATTGCTGTCTTGCCTGAAAGTATGAAAAGTATTTATTCTCTTGACTGGTAATAACATTATGTGAATCACATGTTGGGAATTCTTCATTCAGACATTGGGACTGCCATACCTTGGCAAGTGAGATTGTCCCAAAACAACACTTTTTTCGCAAGAAATCCATTATAAAAAATGAGAATAAAGATCATAAAATTCCTAGCTGTCAGTTGTCATTAAGGATGTAGGTCATAAGAGAAACCAGCTGGAGCATAAGAATGCAGTGTAAAAGTGAAAGGTATGTAAAAATGCACTTATTTTTCTGTTTAGCTTCTCCTCTGTTCCAGCAACATGGAAGATCTCAGCATAGGTAAGCTATAGGTCTGCCTTCAGGCTTTGGGGCATGCATTCAAGCCTGTCCACATTTCCTGCCAGTTTAAGTTGCTCATTATGAATACCAGTCCAAAATGCTCAACAGTTTTACAGCATAGGATATTAACTTGGAGATTGCAACTGTGGATCGCAATTGCTTCCAATACTTTATACCAAGATATTACATTTTCTTTGTTGCAAGATGATGGTACCATATGGAGAGGGCTAAAATTCGCCAACTGGAGGAAATGAACTATCATAGTTCTTGAATTTTTCATTTCTGTTAGTGACTCAGTGATTGGTCCGAGTCAACTTGCATGTTGTTTTGGTAGTCCAATATTAATTTATCTTGACTGTGGATTGTACAGTGTTTTGAATATATAATCTACTGTATTAGTGGGTTTGCTTTATTTATATTAAAACGAACCTTTATTAGGAAATAGAAGTAATTTATGGCAGCATGTGGTAGTTGAGAGATGATATTATCAGCCAGAAATTGTCACCTGTCTTCTTGCTTTCAAAGATATTTCTTAATGTTTCTTCTCTGTCTTGCCACTTAAAATTAAATCATTCCAAGATTGTGAAGTATTTTTCTGTAGAAGCCTTCTGATGTTGTCATTTTTGTCAGTCTTCAGATGTTCAATTTTTGCAGTGCTCCTGATTTCCTGCAGATTTTATTCTTTCTTCACAGAATGATTCATGTCATTTTCTAGAAGCAGTGTCTACTGTATGTTTACTTCTTCTGTCACCAGAATACCCATGCCGTTAGAAGTCACACTGTTTCCTGTAATAACCTCTGGTTTCTTTGTACTTAAAAATGTCATAATTTATCTCAACTGCTGTTATAACATTCTTTTTATTTTCCACCTTTATTTTGCTTCATTGCTTTTACACTCTACTCCATTTTGCAGTATTGGTGTGTTATCTGCATGTATGGGTTTTTTTTAGTTTTGATTATGTTTTTGTTTCATGTCCTTGATTTTCTATATGCACAATGACTTTGAGTTTATTGTTATCTGAGAGATATAGGGAAAAATTAGGCATATGCTAATATATACTGCATGTAATTATGAATGGAAATGAATTATATATTACATGTTTTTTATATACATATCCTAACAGGCTAAAAAATAAAGAATAAGTAAAAGATACAGAACTAAGCAACTACTTTACCCAATACCTACTTTTGTTGTCAAAGTAGCAAATAGAGAACTCAATGAAAACCAACTCAGGGAGAAAAGCACTATCTCTCCATGTA